TCCACGATACTGTCAACAATAATACCTGGAATGTGGCCTTGTTTCCATTGGAATGTTATTAGTTGGGAATGCTGTCGTGGGCTGACAGTTTTCCCATCTATTTATGTATGGAACTGAGAAATGAGGGACTTCCCATGTCACTGGAGAATCTGTGACATACAGTGTGAGCCTTTTTTAAAAAAAAATTATTGGAGAGAGAGTGTAGGGGGAGGGGGAGGGGCAGAGGGTTAAGCAGACTCCCTGCTGAGCAGGGAGCCCAGTGTGGGACTCGATCCCAAGACCCTGGGATCATGACCTGAGCCGAAGGCAGACACTTAACCAACTGAGCCACCCAGGTGCCCTGAGCCTTTTCTTTTATCTGTGTCTGTGGTGTTTCCTAAACACTGTACAGTTGATTGTGTATTGTTTGTTGTAGTTCATTTTATACCTTTCAGCATTCTGTGTGAAATGAGCTATTGGAATTCATCTCATGCATAGGATAAAAATGTGCCATAATCCTAAGTATCGTACTTTTTTAACAAATAAAATTGCATTTGGCAAGTACAGAATCGTAGATCTTGTAGATGCCTGAAAGAGGCCCTGACCCAGAAGCCTTGGGGTCACCTTGCTGCAGAATTGAGATGCCATTTTATCTTTATTCCATTGGGGTCTGATACTGTAGGATAATTGAGTGACATGCTTAGTTTTATTTTTTTTAAAGATTTTATTTGTTTATTCATGAGAGACAGAGAGAGAGAGGCAGAGGCAGAGGGAGAAGCAGGCTCCCCGTGGAGCAGGGAGCCCGATGCGGGACTCGATCCCAGGACCCTGGAATCATGACCTGAGCCGAAGGCAGATGCTTAACCGACTGAGCCACCCAGGCATCCCATGCTTAGTTTTATATTGTCCAATTTCAGATTTTATTTTTCTCTTCCTTTTTGGGAGTTTCTGAGGCCCTCAGTGTCAGGCAGTGTTCCTCGTCGTGGTATATGGGTCTAAGCCGTGCTGGGTTAAGTGCTCTTGTTTGTGGACCGGCGCCCTGACCAGCCTTTTGCTGGGTGACTGGTACCCACCCCCCACCTTGCACCTCCCCCCATTCACGTGTGTCTTTGCTGGAATACAGCACTGTACACACCGCTGGGTTGAGAGAGGACCAGAGGAGTCATCCACAGGGCTGTTGCCTCCCCCTGTGATATTAGGTGCTTTTGCTTCTTGCCGGTGATCAGATTTACACACTGTTCATGGGTCCTTTAAAAATGTAATCGAGTGAGAAGAAGGACCTTTAAAGACTTTTCTATGGCCTGGATACCCACCAGAAGCCTGGCAATTGCTAATTCACTTAAATGAAACTGTGGGCCTTTTCTAAGGAAAGAGTCCCTTGCAAAATGCACCCGGAGGCCTTCGGAATGGGGAAAATGGTGCCTGGATCGTCTCTGTGCTCTTGTGACCAGCACACCTCCTGAGTCACTACACTCCCTGGTGGAAGTTATTCTGTCTCCTGCTCTGAGCACCAACTGGGGGTGACACGGACGGGCCCCGGTTGTGTTTCATCGTGAGATCAGCATCGCTGGTCAGGGAGATGCTGTTAGTGAGAACCCAGTGCTTTCTTTGAGCCTCGGTAACTTATAAGGATCTGGCCTGTTTCTGCACTTGGAAAAGAGTGTCCTAGAACTGGCCTCCCAGTGAAGAGAGCCCTTTTACCAAGACTCCTGACCCAGTATTTTCACCAAGATGTGTTTCGTCCCTATGCATGAACATTCATTTTTGCGATGTTTGTTCTAAAGGAGTTAAGGTATGAATGTCGTTCTTAAAAAATTCTGTTCTTCATCTTCATTTGCAAAAGAAAGTAATACGTTATAAAAGTTCCAAGTGGATGGTACCTCTCTCTTCTATACGAGTGTCATAAAAAGTGTCTCTCATGGTATGTTTGCCAATAAATCTACCTTGAAGACTTGTGGCTTTCAGAAAAGCGTAGCCTGACGTGCGTGCGCGTGGGAGCTGTGATGGCTTTATGTATATTCATTTTTATTTGGTATTGGTACAGCAATTCTTCCTGGCTTTCTCACATTTCTAGTGTTTTCTCGAGGTTGGTCCCTGACTGTGGATTTACCGCAGAGGAAGGAACACCATGTCACTGCCTGGGTAAAATATTCTATGCAGTCCTTGCATATTCATACTGAACCACAAAGGTATCTTCAGCTAATTATCAAGCTACTTAAAAGGCAGTATGCTGCTCTCACGTGACCTTCTCATCTGCCAAAATGTATGCTGCACATGATCGCATGATTAGTTAACACCAAGCCACAACATGGAACGCTCTCTTCTGAGTCCTATAGCTCTTCCAGTAAATAAATTGGTCACACACTTATCTCAGACCAAATGTGCCAGTGATAGAGCTTTTCTAGATGAAAGGAGATGTGTCAGTATGGAAAGCGGCTGCTGAAATCTTTAGGTGACCCTGCACCAACAAAACTGCCTCGCTTAGTAATCAAGTCAGATTTTACTCGCTGATAAAAGTGCTCCGGAAGGGTCAGTCCTCTGGTGGTGGGCTTCGTAAAGGAGCCGTGCTCTTCCAGGCGGCTTGGAATGGACACGCTCATGACCTGGTTGGCTCTTCTCCGAAAGGCACAAAGCAGGCACTCTGATTTGATGGTGCGTCATCTGAGTTGTAATCCATGATTGTGTTCCTCACCCTGCCCACGTCCTATGCCCTTTGCGAATTAGGAAGGTTTTCCCACACCTCGATTTCCTCCCCATTTATACTCTGCTGGGGTTGGGGGAGGGCCTGAGATCCAAGGAGCAGATGCAGAGGCCCTGGGACCCCTCCTTGGAGGCCAGTCACAAACCAGTCACTAGGAAAGTACCCACGAGGGAATGCCCTTTGCTGTATCTGCTTTGTCGATGCAGCACCTGTAGGTGGCTCAGTGAGCAGGGACTGGGACCTGGAGGATTTTTCCCCAGATGCCCCAGGCTGGCACACTGGGTCTTCCTCCACACCCTGCACACAGGTTACACCCATCTCTTCTTTTCCCTGGTGAGCGTGTGAGGTCAGCAAAGCCTCTGTCTCAGCTTCAGTGGTCCCACCATCCTGGCAGGTGGACTCTGTTAGTGCAGACAGCAGGGAAGGGGGTGGGGACCTCTCTGCTCCCAGGCTTCCTTCCAGGCGGACCTCTCCCTTGAGAGAGGGCACGAGTATTGGGTTGGTCTCTGCTGGAGGGACAGGGTGCTCAGCCCAGCTGGGGTGTCGATCTTTCACTCACCCTCCCTTCCTCCCCCAAAGAAGAAGAAAAGAAGGCGGTGGCCAATTCCCTGGGGCTGGGAGCTGCTTGGTGGATGATTTAGAGAAAAGCTGTCTCCATGGGGCCATTACAGGATTTGGCTTGGAAACACTGATGAGTTCACTTGTCTCCTTGAGGTTCTTTAAAAATTACACGAGTTAGCTAGATCCTGCTGTGAGCTTGTATTGTGCTTAGTGCCCTGTTCTGGTGGCTGAAGCCCCTGCCAGCCTCCGGGGTCTCGTAAGTACCGTCTGAGCTGCATTTCAGCGCTGCCCCCTCCAGCCAGGCCAGATGAGCCGGCGGCCGCCTGACCATCATTTCCTCTCCTGAAGACTGGAGGAAGTTCTTTTTAGCCCCAGTATCCTTCCTTTATTATTACTTTCTTAGATTACTTGTATTTCCCCAAATTATCGAGACCATGAAATAAGTTTAAGAGCCACACAAAATATTACCTTTGATTTTTTATTTAAAAATTAATAAAGAACTTAGTGACAAGTATAATAATTTAATCTCTATACGTAATGCCATGTGTACATATACATATGAGGGAACACTGTACTTTTTACCTTGGTTTTGTATCAAAGTTTTTACTTAAATCTTTCTAAGAGAAGAATCGGCATCTGTTCGTGACACATTGCAATTAAATTATGAAATGATTTTGGAAAATATTTTTTTTCTATTCTGAAGATACTTTTAGTTTTAAATAGGAATTAGTTTATCTTCAGTTTCCTTTTTGACTCTGAAAAAAAAATTCGGTTTTTTTTGGGGGGGGGGTCTAGACTGCTTTCAAACAATGATGTCATTCTGTTTACTAGGATGCCCTCTTGTTGAGACAGATGTATAGCACTAATTAGAAAGCTGCTAACACCCTTATTTCAATTCACCAGGATAGTCGGGATTCTTAAAACACAAGGGGATATAACTTGTTGCAAACATTTTTATAACTTTAGTTAAAAACAGTATAAAATACATGAAACACATTTTTTTTTTTTTTTTGAATTTTTGTCTACATGAAACAATTGCACTTCCTTCATGGTACAGGATTAACATGTCTGTCCTTTTCCTTGCACAAAAATATTTCTCAGTTCTGCTTACTGATAAGGATTTCTATCTTCACGTAGTGCTTCCACAAAAGATGTGTGTTTTTCTTTTAATTAAAGCCTACATCTGCACTATAGCATGAGTAGTCCCCAAAGAATGCTTACAGTATACACTCTTCATTTTTATCAATTCCAGGTCTGATGTCTGATCACTAAGTCCTTGTAGAATTGAAACACTTAGAACTAAAATAGATTTGCTGTTGAGTGAGGAGGAAAACGCACGGCAAAAAATAGCTCTGATGTGAAAAATGCGGGTAGAGATCCTTTTACCAAGGGTAGCCACTTCGCTATTGGCATCGAATCAGTGAGGTGTCCATGTCAGCATGAGATTAGATGTGAAACTTTTGGACAGAAACTTGAAGACTAGGTTTTCTTGTATGTTGACAAACTATTCAAAATTTAAGTTGTACAAAAACAGGCAGAATAAGATTCTCTACTTCCTATCGTGAAAAGCAGAAAATTGACAGACTGAGTCATTTGTAGACGAGGGGCTTTTGGTTTCTATAAAAAGATACTTGGAAAGGTGCAAAAGAATGAGTGGAAAAATAAAGGAACTAAGATTTATATTGCAATGTGTAATCAAAAGAGAACTCTCAGTGTCACTGTTTATTTAAAAAATACCTAAAAACATTTGACTCACAGCTTTCCCCTAGGTATGTTACTGAGTACAACTGACTAATAGGTTAGATGTAGGTGACATTAAGTTTGTTTGTTGGTAGCAGCTAAACTAAACACGCGGTTTCTCTTTGAGATGGTCGGTCTTCCACGGTGGTTACAGAGCAGAATGAATTGTATGAAACGTCTGGCTGCGCTTTTGGCGATGAACAGTGTCTCAAGGACTGATCCACGGAAACACTTTCCAGTGGCAGAGAACACCTGTGATTTATTGGTGACTGTATTATCCATTGTGTATCTCTGTGTGTGTTTTCAAATTCTTCCCAGAATTTATCATTTGGCCTTTGGGTACCAAAAGATTAAAAATGAGATCTAAGAAAGCTTAGTGTCCAATAGCTCTGACCCTGTCAACTTCAGTGATTAAAGGCATGTCCTGACTTTGGGCGACTCCTGGCTGCTGGCCATATGGAAAGTGAGCAGTAAACATGTCGCAGGTCTGGAGATGAAGAGAATGCTAAGTTTGAGGTGTCAGTGTGACACTGAGATGTGGTCACTTGGCTTAGCGCTATAGCACGTGAAGGCAAATACACATATAGTCACATTTTAGAGAGTATGGTCTCCGACCACTTGAAAAAATTGTGCTTTCTCCAGAATTTGATGTGCTGAAAATGGCACTCGCCCCCTGCTTATTTGCAAAATTAAACATAAAAATGAAGTCCTTTGCAAACGTAAGGCTTGCTTTTTCTTCTCATTATTTAAAAAAAAGAAAAGAAAAAGTAAAGGCTTGAAAATAATTATGAGTTTTAGCTGTGTACAGAGTGACAGCCCACCGTGTCGCAGGCTGATAACATAACACACTTGCCGATCTGGGGTGGGGCTGGGGTCATAGAATTTTTTACTTATCATCTTTGACTACCTAAGCTTCATTTCAGAATTTACATCCCACATCCGTGAACGGCAAAGAACAGCAGGCAAGGTATGACGTTTACTACCTTGCTTCTGGTCATTATCTGTTGGTACAAAGGCCTTTTTGGTAAGCAGGGTGGGAAGTGGGAGGCGCCCGAGCCAGCCACGGCTCACTCGATCCTATTCGTTTTGGAAAAGGATTTACTTAACTCCAGTGGGTTTTAAAGACGGCCTTTAGGCTCCACACACCATGAGTTTTAAAGAAACCAGAGTTTCCATCTTCCGTGCTTTTTAGATTCGGGTTTGGATTTTTGTTTGGGAGTAGCGGAGTAGGGCTCCTGAGAGTAAGGCGAAGGTGCAACCTGAGTCTCCTCAAAAGGATGGAGTTTCTTCAGAACTGGCTGGAGCTTGTCTTCTTGCTGCTTAAAGTCCAGCTCCACACTGGGAAGAAGAGAGAGGGGAGAATTTAGTGCTTGATCTTTCATATATAAAGATCCCCCTTAGTGACAGCAAAATGTGGTGACATCCTACCAGGGTGGTGATCGGTTTGCGTTATATGTATTGTGTAATTTTATGGCTTGGTAGTAAGCAGTCGGCTCTGATCTATTTTAGCTCTGTGTCCCTGGGAACTGTCTCAGATAGGTTCATTTTCTTCGAAAATCACTTACTTGTTTTTGTGGGGAGCCTTTGAAGTTTTATTAACGTACTCAGCTGGTGTCAGGGTATGTCATGTGTTTGTTGTAATGAGAAAGGTGACATCCACATAACCCTTTTGCTTGTCCATAGACTGCACACGTGCTTCACAGAATAAACAGGGAACCAGAAGTGTGGGTGTTCAGGGGCCATCCCAGCACATATAGAGCAGGGGTGTGAAAGCCCTGTGCCCATGCACCTTTTCACAAGATCAGAGAAATCCATGGATCTCACCTCAGATGGTCGTGGCATAACATGACCTTGGCTTCTGTTCTCCTTACGAAATCTCATTGCCTACCAACATGGTCAGAGCCACGATATCCAGCCTCGGAGAAAACAGTGTGTTTATGGAGTCAATGCCATTGAACGTCACTCAGTGGTGATCAAAGACCGTTTTTCAGGCAAGAGCAGGTGTTTGGTGAAAATAACCCAAAATTGTGATTATATTGCTGAAGCCAAAGTGTGCAGACGTGTAGCCATGAGGAAGGACCTTTGACAGTAGTGACGATGTTTGTGTTAGACTGATAGGATTCAGGGCAGTTTTTTCTTAAGAAATTTATCCACAGAATACTGCGGCCTGCCTGGGGTCCTTCCTTCCCTTCATGGCTTTGGGAAGCCCATTGTAGATCTCCTAACTAACTAACTTCTAGGGGGTTCCCTTGGCCTTGGGGAAGGGATGCCCTGGTCCAGTGACACTTTTCTGTCATGGCAGTGATGAGCCTTGCCCCCCTTCTCACTGTCCCTGTACCCCGATTATTTGAACGTGGGCGCTGCGTCACGCCAGGCTTCTGGAGAATTCCATCCTGTGCTCCTTCCATGTCTGGTCTGGAGGCCAACTAAATGTCAGTAGATTTCAGTAAAGGCTCAGCGATGATGATAATACATGAGCTCATAACATTTTATATCCAGTAGAGCCGTAAACCATTTATAAACGTGAAATCCTATTGATTTAGAGAACCATTAATCCTAGCCAAATTTTGACATTTTGGAAAGACAAAACAGCAAGGCTGTACTATCCGGAGTTTTAAAAACAAGTTCAAGACCCATCTAATGGACCCTTTTATGTTTTAAATGCACTGTTCCATTTTTCTTACCATCGAAGACTATAATAGTACTGGAAAAATTAAAAATATTGTCAGGGAAGTTTATGGCTAGTTAACCCCTGCTCCCAAAACAAGAATTCTTTTTTCCCTTCATTTCACAGGGCCTTTTTGAGTTACGCTGCAGTTTATAGGAGGCAGAATGAAACCTCGTGAGCTCGTACCTTGCTAATCTAGAGCGCGTGATGATGAAGGCATGCTTCCCCTTAAGGGCAGTTGTGGAAAGTGGCAATCTGCTTTTATGAACCATGAGCACAGCTATGTGCTGTGGTAGGAAGAATAGGGACCAACATCCTGCCTTTTCCTCTTGTTGTTGCGGGGGCCGTGTGGGCTTGGGCGAGTCCCTGCCTGACAGTCTCCCTGAATTATGGTGAGGATTTCCAACCCCCCTCTCCCCCACAAAGACAAATCAGTGAAAAAGTTTCCTAAGAGGCAATTCAGATATCATGTAATCCTTATTAACTGTTGATCACTCATTTTATCGTGGGAAACAGAGCTACCAGTGACAAAGATACCTATGGAAGAATTCTTCAGCTTGGACCTTTCACAAGGAAAACGAGGACCTTGCAGCTGAGTTTGTGAGATACTGTGGTATCCAACATGGTGTGTTAGGTTCAAAGGGGTAATTTTATCAGGTGCTTGGTTAATACTGAAAGCATGCTCTCCAGATCATAACCACTTCAACGGTCCCAGATAGGTTTTGAGTTATTAGATTGGCAGGCGGGTGCTCGCGTTTCCTAGGCTAACAGTACAATTCTGGGTACCTGTAATTATTGAATTCCCGTTAAGCCGCTACATTGGGAATCCTGTTATTAACCAATTTATCACACTGCGGAACCATGTAATCACAGATTAATCTAATCTGAGTTCTTGTTAACAAAATGACTCGACTCTGTCAAGTTGATTCCTGTTTGCCCTCTGCCACTACTGAGAAGCTGCCCTCAGGAGCTGGAGTATGAGCAGGCTTCGTATGGAGGGAGTGTGTGTGGCCCCCGAGTGCTGGGGCATCTGCCTGTGGAATGGTGTGCCCTGGCTGGCAGACACATGGTGTGTATCCCTGCGTACACGGTTTTCCTCTGGGGTGCCTTGTTGTGGAAGGAACACACCAAGTCACCGGGTTGATCTGAAGCAGACAACTCGCCGGAGAGGGCAGTGTCTGAAGGTTAGTCGTCTGGCCAACTCTGGCTGACACAGAGCAAAGGACTCCTTAGTCTTAGCCAAGTGGCCAGAAGAAAGCAGCACCTGCTGTCCTGGCTAGAGCAGAGGACCTGGACAGAAGCCACCGATGGACACAGGGCACTGGGACTCTGCGCACAGACCCCTGTGCCTGTGATTATCCAGATCGTGCCTGGGGTGGGGGGGCTGCCTGGGGGAGAGGTACTGCCCTCATCAGCGCCGGCACTGATACCTGAGTGACACCAGGTGTGGTGATGGGGCCCTGCAGGCTGCCCGGCAGACGGTGTGCTGTGGGAGTGGTCACCATTGCTCTGGTCTTCATGGCTTTTACTTTCTCCCTGCCCGAAACACATGTCCTTGCTCCTGGCATGGCTGGCCACTCCTCGTCCCTCTGTCCCCCAGGTACACATTACCTCCTCATTCTCTAGCCATTCTGACAGGTCACCTACCACCGCTCCTTTCTTTTCTCCTTCTCTGTCCTCACCATGAATAATTGCTTATTTGTTTCTGTATTATGTTGCCTTTAACCCCCAGATGTAGGTGCCAGGACTAGGGGGGATGCTGTCCCATCTCCATTCCCAGGACCTACAGCAGGAGCTGGATCCTGGTAGTTGACTGTGTAGTATTTACTGAATTAAACAAATGAGCACAGAGCCTTAAAAGACAAATTCACCTTGGCTTTAGTCCCAGTTGCCCTGGGCTGCTCTATCTGGGTCAGCGCCGTGGCCCGTGCCCCCATCTCCTCCCACACTGAGCCCACTCCTTGCCCAGTCAAACAGGGCTTCTCTTGGAAGAAGCTGGTGGGTCCACTCCAGGTGGAATCTCCACCTCCATTCTATTAGAACTTAAGAAGATGGTGAAACATTTTCTGCAAAGCACACAAGATCTTCTTGGAGCTTGGTCCCTGCACTTCTACTTCCCTTTTTCTGGAAGAGTCTGCAGTAAGATCTTGGAAAGAATGGATGGGGTCAGTAGGGTGCTCATGAGTGGCCAGGAGTTCCCGTGCTCTGCTCCAGGGAACTCAGGAGTAGCATTTTATTCCTGTGGGCTGGAGGAGGGCCTGGGCCTGAGTTGGAGACCCTGATGGTGTCTTCCACTCTGTCAGAGGTGACCCTCCTCCACCGTGCAGTTCAGTCCTGCTTCCCCAGAGCAGTCCCAGCTCAGAGACTTACCCCTGGTGGAACGAGCACATGAGAATGTTTGTATTCCAAGTCTGGGTTGTAGACCTCATCATGGTCATTTAGGACTCTGGTGGGGGTTTAAACAGCTCCCTGGACCCCCTGGGGCTTGTGTGCCCGGCAAAACACACGAGACAGGAGGCTGCTGGTGGCGCCACCCATCTCCTGCAGGCTGGGTCTGGTGTTTGTGAAGCGCTGTCCTGGGGAGATGCACACCATGCTGAATGCTATTTGTCAGGAGGAAAGCAGTCTGGAAAAAGTCCTGACTCTTGAGTTTCAAAGCATGAACGTGAGAGGGCTGGAGCCAGGCCAGGCTGACCCACGCTAGGTGTTCTCTGAACAAAACATAGGCTATAGCTTGTGCTGGGTGAGACTCAGTGCCCAGAAGTACCAGGGCTGTGTATGAGACCTGAGTCCCCAGGAGCTCCTGTTACATTTACCTCGACATCTCTCCTTTCCCTGCCTGCATCCCCTTCTCCGTCAGAGAGCTGAGCCATGTGACCAAATGCTTTGCGTTGAGACCATCACGTGACCTGACGGTGTGCCATGGTGCTGGTGCAAAACCCTTTTCCGTGCTCCACGTGACTCAACTGTGGTAAACGATTAAAGCTGTAGATTCAATTCCTTTGGTTAGTCTTTTTCTCTTAAAAATGGGAGTTTTAAGTATGGGGACTTTTCTTGCAAAATTATTGTTCTGTACATTTCCAAAGAAATAAAAGTCTGTCCTAAATCTCAAGCTGCTTCGTCAGTTGGCACACAAGCTTTGTTCTCTTCCCGGAGACTCTGCTAGGCTTTGTAGTAACACCTCTCCCCCCCACTCCCTGTGCTTTTGCAGAGGAGCGTGGTTGTAGCTTCTCCAGTCGGAGCTCAGCTCGGCTGATGCTCCTATAAATACTTGGACCTTGCCACAGTTTCTTTAGCACGCTGTCGCCAACTCATCAAGTTAATTTAAGGGGAATGTAGTTAAAACATCCCTTTCTTCAGTCCTCTGTGTGTAGCCGTTAGGAGTTAAAAGCAAGTGAGTTTGGCTCCCAAGCACTTGTGTTTCCTGGAGCGGAGGAAAACCTGAAATCTCGGATGTCTCCGTCCTCGGCAGTGTCGGGGGGCTCCGCAGACTGCAGAGCAGAAGCATCTGTTTTTAATTCTCCCTGAATTAGATCACCGAGTTCCCCTGGTGCTCTCTGTGGCTCTGACTGACTCACGCTCTGCCACTGTGGATAAATCATCTCACTTATGGGGACCTGAGCTTGCTGGGTCGTGAAACAATGGTGGAGATGCGCTCTCACCCCACATT